ATATTACTGTATAGCCAACTTTGCACTTTAGAAACTAATCTTGCATTTTCAGTACTATACAACATGCTTGTAAATAATCCTTTGCCTCTTGTTTTGTTGTACTAATGGCAGTAGTGTGATACCAATAAGATTTGATGGGAGCACTGTCAAAACTAAAAAGTATTTTTCAGTTTGTATGTATAAAATAAACTGTTTGAAGTGTATCAAGACTGGCATTGTTTCTTTACAGGCAGGTGTCATTAGTATCCTTTTGTGTACGTTTTCCAAATACCAAGCTGAAGGGAATTTTAAATTCCCCCCAAACCACACTTCCCAGAGCCAGCAGTGGAAGAACATAGAGAGAGAAAATATCTTAACTCTATTAGAACTAGGGTGTTAGTTAACTTGCAGTGTAAACCTAGGTGACACAGAAGAAGACATAGTTCCAGGTTTCCTTTTATTAATGGTTATATACTGCAAGTCCATGATTTTTCAGGTTGTGGGCATAGGGCCCCATTCTAAGTGTTGTGGAGAACTCTTGCCCAGGTCTTGATTAGGGCTGTGCAAAACAGTACCATTTCATTCCAACTCCTGTTTTGAAGGGACAGTGTTTTGTTTCAAAGCACTGTTCCATTTAGTTTCCCATAGGCTATAATGGGTAATCATGAAAATACCTATAACTTTGTTATTTCTTGCTTGATTCGGATGAAAATTGCAGGGATGGTAGCTTCCTCTGAGGACGTGAAGCCTGCCAAGTTTCAAGGAGATAGGTGCAGGGTTTTCTGTGAAACTGCATCTCAAACTGTTCAAAGCAAAACTAATATCACTTGCCGGCTGCACCAGCCTGCTGTCATCCCACACACAGATCCAGGGTCCGTGCCCCCCAGGAGGAGTCTAGCAAAGCCCCGCAGCCCTCCTGGGGGAGGCGGGCCCCCAGATCTGCGTGTGGGATGACAGCAGGCTGGTGCTGCCAACAGGTCAGCGCCAGCACTGGGTTCTTGGCGCTTGGCACAGCCTGTGCTGAGCAGACTCAGGTGCTGGTGCTGGCCCTAGCTCCGCAGCTAGTAAGCTTTAAGGGGGGGGAAGCCCTGCACTCACTGGCTCTGGCAGTGGTGATCGGGGCCTCTGAGGGCTCGTGGCAGAGACCCCCGCACAGCAGGGGGCAGCAGGGATTGCCCCCTTGCCTAGCACCTGCACAGCAGCTGCACCTAAACATTCCCTCAGCTCCCGGGTCGTTTTTTTTTTTCCCCCAGCTCTCTGATCATTCCCCCAGCTCTTTCCAGGGGGCGTGGGCCCCTAGATCTGCGTGCTGGGTTTCAACAGGCTGCCGCTGCAGGCTGCTGGAACCCCACATGCAGATCAGAGGCCTGTGCCCCCGGGAAGAGCTGGGGAATCGAACCAGGAGCTAGATGTCAATATCAAAGCGTTCCTCCCCCCACCCCCAGTATCTGTTTAGCTGCAAGCAAGCTGTGTTCGAAACTAGAAACATTTTGAGAGCTTCGAAACAAAACAAGGGCAGTTTCAAAGCCTCTCGTTTCATTTAGATTTTGCTGTTTTGAGCTCAAAACAAGGGCTCTAACTTAACACTTGAAGCAAGAGTTTAATATAGTGTTCATTTTTAAGAAAGGGAAGAAGTAGGATCTAGGACAGTGGTTCTCAAACTTTTTTTTTCGCGGACCACTTGAAAATTGTTGAGGGTCTCGATGGGCCACCTAATAAACTTATTTTTGTTCTACAAATCAAAGCACACATTTAATTTTAATATCAGTAGTCTTGCCTTTCTAATCCAATGGATGTGCCTGTTTTTTTTTAGCAAAGGTTTTGGAAGTTGGGTGTAATGTTTGTCAGCTTTAGCCTTAGGTCAGCTTTCTGCAGACCACCTGAATGGACCAGTGATGCTCCGCGGACCACAGTTTGAGAACCTCTGATCTAGGAAATTAAAGACCTATCAGCCTGACCTCAATACTTGGGACAATAAGCAGGTCTTTAAGGAATCTATCGTGAAGCACCTAAAAGAAAACAAGGTAACTGGGAACAGCTAACCTGCATTCACCAAGAGCATGTCATGCCTGACCAACCTAATTGCTTTCTATGATAAGGTGAAAGGCTCTATGGATAGGGAGGGGGAGAGTAGTGGATACAATATACCTTTAGTAAGGTTTTTCACGCCATCTCCCCTAACATTCCCACTGACAAGCTAAGGAAATACAGACTAGATAAGGTGGATATATAATTGGTTGGATCATTGTGCTCAATGACTAGTCATTGATGGCTCAATGTCTCATTGGGAACAAGTATAAGTGGGGTTCCTTAGGGGTCTTTCCTTATTTAATATCTTCATTAATTACTTGGATGATGGGCCCAGGTGCACACTTTGCAAAATTTTGGATGAAACTACGTTGGGTGGAGTTGATACTCTGGAGGGTAGGGCTAGGATCCAGAATGACCTGGATAGACTGGAAAAATGATCCACAGTCAAACAGATGAGATTCAACAAGTTGCAAAATTCTGCACCTGGGACAAAATAACTGCATACACAAATACAGACTGTGGAGTGCCTGGCTAGGTTGCAGTACTGCAGAGAAGAACGTAGGGGTTATGATGGACCATAAACTGAATCTGAGCCAAGGGTGTGCTCTTATTGCCAAAAAGGCCATGTGCTGGGTTGTATTAGCAGGAGTGTCGCCTATAAATCAAGGGAAGTGATTGCTCTTCTCTTCAGCACTAGTGAGGCCTCATCTGGACTCCTGTGTCTAGTTTTGGGCCCCACACCTCAAGAAGGATGTGGACAGGCTGGAAAGAGTCCAGCAGAGAGCAAAAAAATGATTAGGGGTCTGGGAGGTAAGATTTATGAGGAAAGGGTGAAAGAACTGGGGTTTAGTCTGGAGAAGAGAGGATTGAGGTGGGATTTGGTAACCATCTTGAAATACCTGAAGAGTGGTTATAGAGAAGATGGAGATGGATTTTTCTTTGTGATGGCAGGAGACAGGACTAGGAGCAATGTCCTCAACTTGCAGTAGAGGAAATTTAGGTTGGATATTGGGAGGAACTTTTGGACTGTGAGGATGGCCAAGTGTTGGAACAAACTACCTAGAAAAGTTATGTAATCTCCATCCCTGGAAGTTTTCAAGGGCAAATTGGGATAGATACTTAGCTGGGATGGTTTAGTGAAGGACAATCCTGCCTTGAGGAGGGGGCTGGACAAGATCACTTTGTGAGAGCCCTTCTAGCCCAACTTCCCTATGATTCTATCTGCAGCCTGATATTTTAAATGTTATTCATTAACAAGGGCTCCTCCTATGGGTTTGTAGGAGGTAGATCATGCCTGACTAATCTAGTCTCATTTTATGACCAGATTACAAAACACCTGGATTCAGGAGTAGGGGTAGACATCGTTTACGTAGACTTCAGGAAGGCCTTCGATACAGTATCCCACCCCATACTGGTGAACAAATTAAGAGGCTGTGACTTGGATGATTACACAGTCCAGTGGGTGGCAAATTGGCTAGAGGGTCGTACCCAGAGAGTGGTGGTGGACGGGTCGGTATCAGCCTGGAAGGACGTGGGCAGTGGGGTCCCACAGGGCTCGGTCCTTGGACCAGTACTCTTCAATGTCTTCATCAGTGACTTGGATGAGGGAGTGAAGTGTACTCTGTCCGAGTTTGTGGATGATACAAAACTGTGGGGAGAAGTGGACACACCAGAGGGCAGGAAACAACTACAGGCAGACCTGGACAGGTTGGACAAATGGGCAGAAAACAACAGAATGCCATTTAACAAGGAGAAATGCAAAGTGCTGCACCTAGGGAGGAAAAATGTCCAGCACACCTACTGCCTAGGAAATGACCTGCTCAGCAGCACGGAAGCGGAAAGGGATCTCGGAGTCCTAGTGGACTCCAAGATGAACATGAGTCATCAGTGTGACGAAGTCGTCAGCAAAGCTAACTGCACTTTATCGTGCATCAGCAGATGCATGACAAATAGAACCAAGGAGGTGATACTTCCCCTCTATTGGGCACTGGTCAGACTGCAGTTGGACTACTGCATCCAGTTTTGGGCGCCACACTTCAAGAGGGATGTGGATAACCTGGAGAGGGTCCAGAGAAGGGCCACTCGTATGTTTAAGGGCTTGCAGGCCAAGCCCTACGAGGAGAGACTAGGGCACCTTGACCTCTTCAGCCTCCGCAAGAGAAGGTTGAGAGGCAACCTTGTGGCTGCTTATAAGTTCATCACGGGGGCACAGAAGGGAACTGGTGAGGCTGTACTCACCAAGGCACCCCTTGGGGGTCACAAGAAATAATGGCCACAAGCTAGCAGAGAGCAGATTTAGACTGGACATTAGGAAGAACTTCTTCACAGAGCAGCCAAAATCTGGAATGGGCTCCCAAGGGAGGTGGTGCTCTCCCCTACCCTGGGGGTCTTCAAGAGGAGGTTAGATAGGCATCTATTGAGGTCCCTTCCGACCCTAACATCTATGAATCTATGAACAAATCCCATTTATCAAATAACAGATTGAACATTTAAAAATGCATACAATCCCTTAAACTGTTGCTTGTTCTATTTTTCCAATTAAATTAAATAATTAAACAGTTGGAGCTATCTGTTACAATGTCACCTTTCCTATGGTTAGTCTTGCTCAGTAATTATTTAGCCATTAGTTATATGCTGTTCTTTCTCTAAATTGCCAGGAGGTGGCAGCATTTGTATTCATTCATAGGTGTTTGGCTCCCTCACTTCTCTAGAAAGAGTAAATATTAGCCCTGTAACTTTGCAAAGCCTGAGATGGCTTGTTTGCAATAAATAGTAAAGAAAGCAGAGTATTGACGCATTACTTCAAGAAGTGCGAACTGCTTTAAAAATGGCCAGTTTTACAGGTATATCCCCAAAGAGTATTGCCTAATGTGACCTTACCCATTCCTTTTGCCACCCCACTTGCTCACAACTTACTTATCTTTTGCTGGACGCACAAATAAAAAGGTCCTGCCTACAAATTAAACACAGCCAACCCTTTCAGACAAGCACATCCTGCAGCACTCAGCCCTTCCTGCTTTGCTGCAGACTGGGCAATGGTACAGGACAGTGGTGTAAGGCAGTGGTGATTTTTTTCAGTACATTGGTTTTGCACAGGATCGTTAGTGTCCTGGATCTAGTTTTTGTTTCCTGTCTAGTACAAAAGCTATTTTCAAGACAAGTAATTTCTTTATGTGATGGAAGACACCAAAGAGATTATACAGGTGAGTTTGCTTTTGATTTGTTTTTGCCTGACATTTCACTCATTTATGTTCTTTTGTAAACTATTTATTTGAACCTATTAGCTTCTTAAAGTGTTTTAGTGTTAAAACTCAAACTTAGGGACAACCATTTGAACTAATGTACAGTATTATCCATTTGTAAGTTTGGAATAACTATCTTATAGCATTGTTTGCTTATTGTTGATTGGTCTAGATTGAATACAACAGGAAAGAGAACAGTAGCTGGCAGAATATAGGGCTAACTTTTCTTACTTAACGTAGGAGGCGTGTCTTGTGAAGAATTCCACATACTGACGGAAGAAATAGAAATCAAATAAAAATTAAATATTGTATCTTTGACTAAGAGAATGCACTTTAGAAGAACTTCTTAAACTAAGAAGATCTTGTCACATATTTGATATTTATCAGTAACCTTGACTTTGACTTGGTATAGAACTGTTTTAGAAATTATGAAATAATAATTTTCTTAAACGTACATGTTAGTTTGCTGGGGTAAGAACTACTGACTAAATCTGAATGGCCCAGAATTAAAACAATTAAAGATAAAGCTAATAAAAATGGGCAAAATATGACAGCACGGAAAAGCTAATTAGGACCCTTTGTCTGTATCAAGTGTCTGTTTTTGAGGGTGGGGACCTCAGATCCAAATGTGCATAACTGTTGATGTTCTCTTGGGAGCTATATAAATGTTACTATTTGAAAAACAGCATTCAGAGTATTCACTTAGACCCTGATCCTGCAAGATGCTAAGAGCTGTCTGTTACAGGATTTATTTCTTTTGAATCTTGTTTTTTTGTTCTGAAGTTTTTCAGGTTTCACTGCATACTCTGACCTAAGGCCTGAAAAACGATAGGTGTTCAAAGGTCAGTATAAGACCTCCTGATGACACCAGCAGTCATACTTGTTCAAGAGTTCGAAGTCCGGTAGCGCCCCCAGATAAGTTTTGGTAGCTCCTGTAATGTCAGTACTTGATTCTTGTCTCTTATTTCCCAAAATGGAAATATTCAGGGCTCCTTTTAACTTTTGAGGACTGAAATGAGATTGCCACTGAGACGCAGCCCTTACATTCCAAAGCCTGAGAGCTAGGCGGGAAGCTGAAACCACTATTTAAGACACCCTGGGTGCATCTACAATAGATGCTAAATGCTCAGGAGACTAATTCTACTGTGCATTAGCGCGTCACGGGAAAAGACATGCTGTTGTGCTAATGCACAGTAGAAACAGACTGCTGGGCATTAGCATCACTAAAAAGGCATGTGCCAACGCTACTACGCAGTAGCGCCAGTTACTACATAATGAGTTGGTACCTGTTGTTACAGGTACTAAACATAAACTACAGAGCATTGATGCATATGCCCCCTGTTGTCCTCTAACTAGACTAAAATCACATTTCTGGTGGGGCTTTTCTGATGAGCAGGGGGAAGACAGCATGTCCCAGCACAATGAGAACAATATAGTCAGGGGAGAGAGAAAATCTCCAAGGAGGATCATTTACTTTGCAAATGGTGACACTATGGAAGAGTATAGCACTGAGGAAGAGGAAGAGGAGGAAGAGCATCAAACTCTTGACACAGTGAGTCTGCTTCCTGGCTTGTATTGGAAACATTTGGGGGGGGGGGGTCTAGAGAGGAGTACAGCAAGGATGAGCTAATACTTATAAAGACCTTTGAAGCTATGAAATCCTATATTGTGCTACATTCTAAGACATAACAAGTATCTTGCTATGAAAAAACTCTAATGTTACTGTATTTGGTTCTTATCATGCAAGTATTTTAATTTTTATGAAACTTTACTCCCCTAAGTCCCATAAAAGATTATTTCAGGTTTACATATTTGCAAAACTGGATCCTTTACATGTTCTGTTGCACAGCTGTCATCTGTGTTTGCTGTACTAATAACCAGCTTTATAAAGGAGTCTGATGCTTTACAGATTCACAGTTAGGCTACTACTTTAAGTCAATTGGATTTGGTTAGACACAACAGCAGCTTATGTCAAGACTTTATGTAATAATTAGCTTTCTTCTCTGCATGATGGCAGATCATTTGACACTGCAAGCAGTATCAGCCAAATTAATCTCCAGGGGAATTTCATAGATGAATCTGGCTTTGTAGTTTAATTCAGTCTGTCTAACATTACTAAGCATTCTTTTTATTTGTTTGTTTTTGCTTTTTAGTCCAAGTTCTCCTGGGGACTGTATCTGTGGTTCTGGGCAGTTCGAATTGCATCAACGTCATTTTTCAGTAAGCTATAATATTTTTGCATCAGTGGTTGGATTATTAAGCAAGAAAATTATCAGGAGATTTTTTCCCCGTTTATTTGATAGTTTCTTGGTAGCATCTCAGGATTATTACCAAGCTTTTTGACAATGTGCAATTTAAAAATGGGTATTTTCTTTCAATGAGCTAGTAACCTCTATATGTTATTCAGTATGAAGTACTCTAGGTTGGGTCATTTGCATATCAGACAACCATTTAAAATGAACTATTTCTTATACCAGCCAAAATGTGGCAGAACACTTAGAGGAGCCTTGCCACACTCAGTGAAGCAAGAGTCTGAATGCTGTCCCAATGGGTGGCAGTCTGGTTATGGAGTTTACAGGGGTTGTGTATGTGTGTTGCCAGCACAACTATCAGCAATGTAATGGCATTTATCATGGTTGAAGAGCAGGTTTCCTTTATATCATGGGTAGCCTCAATGACTACTTATTATGAGTCTGAGGACATAAAGATTTTCTCTTTCGTTCACCTCTTTAATACTTAGTTTCTCTGTTGTCAGTCCTGGACAGACAACACATCTATACTACTGTAAAAAAGATGTGGATGGATGATGTCAATCCTAGATAGGGGTAACTTTGCCCAACGCAGTGTAGAATTGCCCCTAAAAGAATCAGGATAAACTATACCGGTTTACTGTCACCTGTCCGCATCTTATCCTGGGACAAGTGCTTTCTCAAGGCAAACAGGCTCTTACCTGTTCCCTGGCCAGTTCTTGGTGAGGTATTGTAATAGTGTCTATGCATGCTAATACTCCATGAATAAGGACTTAACGCAATTCACAATTTCACGGATTTTGCAGAAATTGTGAAATTGGGCAATGTCCGTAAAATCTCCAAAGGAAAAAAAAACTTATTAAAAATAAAATGCTGGCTCCCCAGTGGAGGGGGTAAGGGCTGTCAATGCAATGGGAAGTAGCCAAGATGGTGGCCACCCCTGCCTCTCACTGCTGATTGGCTGAAAGGGCTGCCCGTCGTGTGGCCTCGCCCCCTCCACCAATCAGCAATGATAAGCGAGGTGCACAATGGACAGCCCTCTCAACCAATCAGAGGTGGGGGGCAGGGCTGTGTGATGGACATCCTTCTCAACCAATCAGCAGTGAGGGGCAGGGCCACCAGGGCCCCTCAGTCAGTAAGAGGTGTGGGGGGGGGGGGCGCCACAATAAGCCCATGAAAATGGTGGCCAGCCCTACAATTTGCCCATTAAATCAGCCTCCTGCCTTGATTTCAGTAGGGCCCTATCCATGTGGACTGTTCGCCTGTCTGCTCTGGCCTACAGCGTGATTTATGTTGGTGTATTAAAAACAATGCAAGTTATTTCTTGTCTCTCCAAGGCCACAGCAGTATTTTTAACTAGCTTCCAAAATTATTCCTACTTCATGCTCTTACTAGTGTGACAGTGTATCAAACACTGCATCAGAAACTATATTAAAGTTGAGGTGGCAAAGTCAAGAACTCAGAAGTTAGGAAATGCCAGACTTGGGGGTTCTGAAGCAGCCTTAGTTCGGTTCTCTTATGTGTATACATTGACAATATGCTTATAACATGCTATTGCCTCCTCTCCCCTGACCTGGACCCCTGCGCCATTCAGCGTGCAGGATAACTGCTCATTCAGAGACAAGACTCTACTTTTTTTTTCTTTTTTGTCATTCCATGTGCAGACCTACATCTTTTTCAGAACAAACTGCAGAAATTCACCCAAGGAACCTTGTCTGCCTCTGTCTTTAGACCAACACGGCTACAACCTAAACCCCTGAAGCATAACTGGGCACTTGAGTGCCCTGGGCAGCAGGCTCACACAGGATAGTGTCAGTGGTATGGCAGCCCAACCAGCAGTGCAGCTGCTGCTATTTTTGTGTTCATCCCCCGGACTGGTGCCCCAGTTGCCCCCCCACTTTGTTACGCTACTGCCAAGCTATGTCCAGTGCATAATTATTTTCCATGCTGCTTCATTGAATGTCTAAGTAGTCCACAAACACTAATGGATTTATTTTCACTAATCTGTGTTGGGTGTGCTGATCTGACGTACAGTGATTAAAGCCAAAATTGCTAACAGTATTAAGAAATGTTAGGTGTCTAATTACAGATGCTTAGGGGGTTTTAAGAGTATGCAGCATTTTATAACACTTATGCATTCAAAGCACAGCTCCTATTGACCTCAGTGGCAGCTGTGAATGCAAGTACTTAAACTTGTGAACAATTTTACTCCCAGACGTCCCAAGTGCAAAGTTCTTTACACATTTATGCATTTATAGGATTGAGCATTTGATGTATTCCAGAGTTAACATTTCTGCCAGTCAGGCTCCAGGTATGTCCAACTGGGACTCTGAATCTGAGCAACACTGAGGCCACCTGTCAAAACTATTTACATCATTTGGTACCTCATCACAGGAATGCTGCAGCAGAAGCAAGAATGGAATCGTAGAAAATGAGGGTTGGAAGAGACCTCAGGAGGTCATCTAATCCAACCCCCTGATCAAAGCAGGACCATCCCCAACTAGATCATTCCCAACTATTCCCAATCCTGTTCACTAGGTTGCAGCTTTGAAATGCTTGATTTGCTACTTTAAAATTCTTACAGCTTATGAAAAAAACAGAAACATAATAATCTAAAATCCCACTTGTCCCCAAGTCACAACATCTGGCCCATAGCAATGGGGATCAGTGGCAAAAAGCGCAGTCTGGCACATCCCCTTCCCTGCACTGCACCATGCTGCCAATCTCCTCTACTGCCTGGAGGTAAGCTCACTTCCTGTTTCCCTACCTTCTCTCAGACATTGGCAACCACCTCCCTGTCCCCCACCCGCCTTCCTTACCAGAGGGGAGTGGTGGCTTGCAGTGTAGCCAGGGTTCAAGCCCCCAACCTGCTGTTCTAAAAGGTTGAGCTCCACTACCCTATAGTGTTGGTCATTTGGATTTGGATATTTAGACCTGCCATGCAGTCCTCTGTCCCTTGAGCTACCAGAATAAGTAGTACCAGCAGAAGGCTGTCATTACTTCCTGGTTTGGAGGATGGGATGCACGTTTTTGTCTGTGGCTTCTCCAGGAATTTACTAAACTGCAAAAGGATGTTGAGATTATGGAATAGGGCTGCGCGAAGCGGCTAGTATTCACTTCGGATTTGGCTGATTTGGGGGACAATGATTTGATTCAGTGATTCAAATCACTGTCCTGAATTGATGCTGCTGAATCGTCCGAATCTCTGAATCACACAGGCCCCATCCCCAACCCACTCTCTCAGCTCCGCCTGCCCCAGCTCCCAGCTCTTTGAAAAAAAAAAAAGCCCCCCTCACTGGCTGCGGCCCCGCGGGGGGGGGGGCCGCGATTCCC